TGCTTTGATGACTCGGGCAGCTCTGATAACTCAGGCTACTCTGATGAATTTGGCTGCTCTGTCGACTCTGACACTCGCAGTAACTTGCTGAGGAATGCGAAAGTTGCACTATTTTCGAACTTTCGTCGATATGTGAAGTATTACTGTAAATAGTGCTATTAGATGTTTGTTGATTTTTGTCACTTGTTAAAGCAGTCCTTGGATCTGTCGATGACTCCTTAACGGGATACTTTTCTGTCGTTTCTACAATCTTATCTGTTCTAGGGACAGGTCGTTCAACCACAATTTTATCTGTTCTAGAGACAGGTCGTTCCATTGCCTCGGCATCTATTTCGGATTCAGCAATAATATTTTCACTTTGCTGACTCAAACTCGAGACACTGCTCTTAATTGTAGTTATATTTGGTTGCACGCGACAGTGCTTGAGGATTGAAGCAGGACAAGTTTGGGTCACTTCGTCCTTGTGTACAATAGTTTCACAGTTACAATATTTAGATATGCATGAAGAAGATTGTTTTATAGGCAAATTAGGTTGGATTTTCTGATCACCACCTTCTTTAGGCTTATTCTTGTGGATCTTGTTTTGCTCTTCAGATGGTTTCCCACTTTTATTCTGTAATACAGTTTCTGTTTCCGGTATAACCGATAAACTTTCACGTTTGATTGCAGACTCTCTATTATGTAAACTAGATCTCCTATGTTCTTTATTGTATAAAATAAGACTTCTAGATTCTTTATTACGCAAACTAGGATTTTTGGAAGACACGGAGTTTGCTCTAAACTCTGCTATACTGCAGGGAGCACCTAAGATACTGGTACATAAACTTTCGCTCAAATTGCTGCTGGACGAAGTTTTTATATCGTGTGCTGATGTAGTTGCAGCAGACAAGTTTTTGTTGGGTAAAGTCTGAATTTTGTGCGTCGATCCAGTTTCAGCATTTGGCTGTTGGGACCTATCCGCGTCTTCTTCTTGGACTGTATCTTTTTCCGGCAACTCTGTAATCAACACTTCGCCTTGTTTACAACCGCAAAAATTTTGCGGTTCTATTGTTGTCATCGGAATATCACAATCTCTTGTGGGTGTTAAATCTTCTATGCTGACAAAGTATCTGGCAATCAGTTCTTTTCTTATTTGTGTCTTTGAATACTTCAGCAAGTTCGTTAGAGACGTAGTATCTACAAAAAAGTACATGGAAGTAATTATATTGCGAAAAGTGAACGAAAATACCTATCCTCGAGAAACTGGTGTCTTCGGTGTCACTTATATTTAAAGAATGATAATAATTTCCTATGTGACCGGTCGTTCCTCCTCTAACTCTATCTTCTTCCTCTTCCTCGGAGGAAATGTAATGCCTTCGATTAGATGTGCTTCTTTGTCTAAGAATAGCAGAGTCGAGGGTAGTTGAGGTTGGGGTGTCGAAATAACTTTGATTATAATTACGTGCCCTCAATTCTACTTCGTTCCTTCTGTCTTTTGAATAAAATGGTAGGACATCAGAATCCTTTTTACGCTGTAATTTAATATAATTATTAACGACTTATCGTATTATTTTACTTAATATAAATCAATTTGAAAGGTCTACTGTCACATGACCGTCATTTACAAACTGGAAACATAAGAGTAACAATAATTATTAACGAGTGGAAAAAAATATTCTTTCAGAAACGTAGAATATTATTGTGAAAATATGAGTATTTTGTTCATAGATCTAATACTGTATTAGATTTTGTTAGCTATGATTTAAATTTACCTGTATTTTATTACTGCGAAATTTACGTAAGTGTCGAAACAAACAAACAAAAACAAAATTAAAATCAATCTATTAGAAAAAAATAACAAATAAATAAAGTTCGAAAACCTGTTGTTGGAAAATATGATTTTATATTCTAATATTGTAAAGTTGGTAGAACTGAATAGTGAAATTCATTTTTAATAAGTAACGAGAAATGTTTTGTTTTTCATATAATAGTTGAATGTATGTTGTGTAAATAAAAAACTGTAAATTGAAGGAATATTAATATATATTTTTAACATGGTAGCAGCAGTCTGTGGTTTATAATTTTGATCTACAAAGATTAAAGAGACGTTCTAGAACAGAATATAAAGAAATGGCCGAAAAGAAAGAAGATTTCGTATTGCACACGTTTGATAGAAAAGGCTACGATAAATGGAAATTCAGATTAATGCTTTTGCTGGAAATGAAAGAATGCGATGAAACAGTGATTAAAGGAAGTAAACCTAATGAAATGAGTGAAACTGAATGGAGAAAGAAAGACATAAAAGCCAAAAATTACATAGTTAATAGCATTTCAAATAGTCAACTGGAAATGATTATCTCATTAAAAACAGCAAAGGAAATGATCAAGAAATTAGATGAGATGTACTTAGTGAAAAATAGTGCAATGAAGTTACTATGCAAGAGAAAATTATTAAACTTAAAAATGAGTGAAAGAGACAATCCATTAAAATTTTTTAATGAGTTTGAAAGATTAGTAAATAAACTGGAAAATACAGGTGAAGACGTTAGTGAAGAGGATAAGTTGAATTACCTATTATTAGCATTACCAGAGATATAATAGATGCGCTACCCGAAAAAGAAAAGTCCTGTGAATATGTAAAATCGAAGTTAACAATTGAATTTCAAAAAAGGGAGAGTTCCAGTGTAAACAAAAATAGTTTTCAAGCATTTAATTCTCATGTAAAGAAATATCGAAACAGTAACAGAAGATTTCAAAATTACCAAGGACAGCGAAATGAAGACCGAACTAAATACAACAATACAAAAAAGTGTTTTAGGTGTCACAGAATGGGACATACACAGAAATTTTGTCGCGCAAGAATACCAGAGCAAGAAGGATCAAGAAATAATAGACAAGAAAATGAGAGAGGCAGTTATCATGTCGCTGGGCAGTCATCAGTGGAACAAAACGAAGATGAAGAAAACTATACATTTCAAGTAGAGGTTATGGTGGCAAATGCAGAACCCTGGAGAGAAAAAGAAGGTCAAATTAGATAGCTATTAGACAGTGGATGTTCAGATCACATAATAAACTGCGATAAGTATTTTTCAAAATTTGTTAATCTTGAAAATCCAGTTAATGCTAAAGTAGGTGATGGTTTTTCATTAGCATCTCATAAGTTAGGTGACATAACTGTTTATTTTAATAATAATGGGATAACTACTAAAACTGATATCAAAAATGTTTATTATGTACCAAATATGAAACATAATCTGTTAAGCGTCTCTTGTATAACTAATAAAAGTAATACCTATGAAGAAAATATTGCAAAAATCAAAAATTGTAAAGGGAATATAATTGCCACAGCTTTTAAAAAGAACAAATTGTACGAATTAGAAAGCAGTGTTCAAAAATGTGTAGAAAGTAATTCAAATTCTTATGTTAGCTTTGTAGATATGTCAAAAAAGGAAAAATGGCATCGTATGCTTGGTCATGTAAATTTTGATGATTTAAGAGATATGGGTAATTTAAAGGTAGCTGAACGTTTACCAAGTAAAATAGAAAATGAATTTTTAAAATGTGAAATATGTTTGGAAAATAAAATGAGTAATTTGAAATTTAAAAATAATAGAAGCAGGGCAAATGATGTTTTAGAAATAATTCATACAGATGTTCACGGTCCAATTAAACAAACAGGTTATAAAGGTGAAAATATTTCGTAAGTTTTATAGACGATTTTAGTAAAATTGCTGTTATTTATTGTATTAAGCAAAAGAGTGAAGTTTTTGATTATTTTATACAATACACTAGATTAATGCAAAATAAAACTGGAAAGAAAATGAAGGAAATTCATTGTGACAATGGGAAAGAATATATAAATAAAGATTTTTACAGTTTTGCAAAAAAGGAAGGTATTTACTTACGACCATGTCCTCCTCGTACACATGAACTAAATGGTGTTGCAGAGAGATACAACAGAACAATCATGAATCGTGCTAGATGTTTAATGAGAGAAGCTAATATAGACAAATGTTACTGGCCTGAATGTGTTAATGCTTATATAGGGAACCGTTTACTGGCAAATACAAAGATAAGGAAAACTCCATATGAAATATTTTTCAGAAAGAAACCTGATTTGTTAAATTTACGTTTGTATGGAAGCAAAGTATATGTCAGAATCCCTGAAGAATGTCGAGAATCAAAGCTGCATCCGAAAGCTGTCAAAGGAATTTTGATTGGTTACACAGATGGTTATAAAGTATTAGTAAACGAAAAGGTTATTAAAAGTAAAAATGTGCAATTCATAGAAAATGATGTAAAATATATAAGAATAAGGAGCGAATCGGATTCAGAAGGTAGTAATTCACATAATGAAGAAGACTATGATAACAGAGAAAATGATAGGTCAGAGGCTATTTCAGAATATACAGATGATGGTACTAAGGAGGTGATTGAACCAACTCGTCAAAAACGACAAATAAAATTGCCAAAACGATATGATGATCATATATTATATGCAAATTATACGAATATTTTGGTTTCAGAAAATTATGAAGAAACAGTGAATGGCTCAGATTCTAGAAAATGGAAAAACGCAATAGATGAAGAAATAAATAGTTTAGAAGAAAATGAAACATGGAAAATTGTTGAAGCACCAGAAGATAAGAAGATCATAGAAGTTAAATGGATATACAAAATTAAGACAGATGGAAGATATAAAGCTCGTGTGGTAGCAAAGGGTTTTCAACAGAAATATCAGGGAGAAGAAGAAACTTACTCGCCTGTAGCAAGAATGTGTACATTAAAAATATTGTTGTCTGTTGCTTGTAATCGTAAGTGGAAAATTGAGCAAATGGATGTCCAAACAGCATTTAAATGGAAAAATCAAATCAGAAGTATATATTTACCCACCAGATGGTTACAAGATCGAACAAAATAAAGTATGTCTTCTAAGCAAATCCCTTTGTGGTCTAAGAGAAAGTCCACGTGACTGGTACGAATGTTTTCATGAATTTATGTCAAATATTAACTTTAAACGATCAAACTTTGATTATTGCCTATACATGAAAAATAACAGCGGAAATTAACTATATGTTATCTTGTACGTAAATGATTTATTAATTTGTGGTTTAAGTATAAAGCAAATTGAGGAAGTTAAAATACTTTTAAGTCAAATATTCAAAATGAAAAATTTAGGTTCAGTTAAACAATACTTTGGTATGGAAATCGACTACAAACTGCTTGAAAATAAAATGAGTCTAAGCCAATTAAATTATATAGAGTCGTGAGCTGAAAAATATAATGTTAAAGAATCAAAAGTTGTATATACACCTGTGGAGCTAAATTTAAAATTAGAGACTGCAGAAAATAGTGCTCCTGAAATAAAATTTAGAAACTTGATAGGCGCTCTTTTATATGTAAGTTCAGGTACGCGACCAGACATTTGCTTGCTGTAAACTATTTGAGTCGTTTTCAAAATAGCTATAGTGATACTCATTTTAAATACGCATTACGTGTTTTGAAATATTTATACAGCACTAGATTTATGAAGTTAACGTATGGTTCAAATTTAAATAATATATTAGATGCTTAGGTCGATGTTGACTGGGCCTCAGATTTGATCGATAAAAAACCTACAACTGGTATACTTATTAGAGTGTTTGGAAATCCAATAATGTGGAAATCTCGAAAACATAAGGTTGTATCAAGAGCATCGACACATGCTGAATTTTATGCTCTTGCTGACTGTGTTAAGGAAATTCTACCGATCAAAGGAATATTACTTGATCTCAACGTACAAATTGATAGTTCTATTAAAATTTATGAAGATAATACAGGTGCCATTGCTTTAGCAAAAAATGGTAAATTTTCCAAAAATTCTAAGCATATAGATATTAGTTATCATTTTGTCCACGATTATCATAACCAGGGAAACAATCAAGTTTTAAAAATTCATACAGATGACCAAATTGCTGATATCTTAACAAAATCATTAGGAACACAAAAATTTGAATACTTCAGAAATGTATTAGGTTTAAAATGTTACTGAATATTGTTGTGACAATTTTTGAACCTATTTTGTTCAAAATCTGTTTGGTTTAATTTTTTTCTAAATATAAAATCAGGGAGGTGTGTTGGAAAATATGATTTTATATTCTAATATTGTAAGGTTGGTAGAAATATATAGTGAAATTCATTTTTAATAAGTTAGTAACGAGAAATGTTTTGTTTTTCATATAATAGTTGAATGTATGTAACAAAAAACTGTAAATTAAAGGAATATTAATATATATTTTTAACACCTGTTCTAGAAAATAATGATAATGTTCTTGTTTTTAATTCATATCATCGTAAGGTGATTTCTTATGATACTGTTTATTTAATTTTAATTGAAATATTAAAATCTGAGTCTCCTTGGAATTTTACAGGGTGATTTAGAACCTATCCGAAAAAAACTATTGTATTATGTACAGGGGACTCTTACAAATACAACTCTGTAAAAAAAAAATCAAAAAAGGCAATTTGAAAATGATTTAAAAATACACTTCTGTACGGCACTGGAAACTGGTCTACTGTAAAACTTGACTGGCGCAAAGCAAAGCGTGCAGTCGTAGACCGGCACAACGGCAAAGTGTAATAAAAAATGAACGGACAAAAAATTGAAAGAATTTCTTTCGTAAGGAAAGAAATATATAAAATTTTATAACACTTATTTTATACCAGCAAATTTAACTGCTTTTGTTATTAATTAATAAAATTAATTTGTGGTTTGAATTAATAAAATAATTTGGCATACCTGATGTTACAACAACTGTTCAAAATTTTTTCCACCGAGGTGTAAACACATTTGGGACCGCCGTACCCAGTTTCTACGAACTAACACAAATGTTGTGTTGCTTCACCATAACACAAATGTTGTCTTGCTTCACCATAACACCATAACACAAATACTTCACTATAACACAAATGTTGTCTTGTTTCACCATAAATTAAAACGATATCCATCAACTCCGAGTTGCTAACACGTAAGCCATTTTTGACACTTGGAAAAGTAATGTACTACCTACTAAAATCGCCCGCACAACGCGAATGACGTTAGAGACTACAGTAGCCCAGTGACGTAAGGGTTTTAAATACTACAACTTCAATAATTTTTTTTTCGGATACTATACCTATTCCCATCTATTCTCAATTTTTTTCGAATAAGTTGTGAGTCACCCTGTATATCAACAAATATCGCAAGGACTATACATACCTTAGGTATAATTTTTTGGACAAATTTCATAAACTTCCCTGACTTCCTCTTATCTTCTGCTTTCCTATCAGAAGGTATGTCCTTTACAGCTCTGTAATACTGTTTCACTTTCTTCCTCTGCTTTTCTTCAAATTTATATTTATCCAAAGGTTTCGCTGAAACTCCTATATCAACTTTAGCCTTAGTACTGGTCTGAATATCTTTATCAACTTTAGTTGTTGAGTGACGAGTATTTAAATATTTATTTTCAGACGAAACATCTGGTGATGAGTTGTGATGTCTGCTGGAAGAAGAAGTAGATTTAGGAGACTCTGAAACTTCATCGTATTTTACATTTCCAAAGATATTATTGACGTAATTCTTCGAAGAATGGGGAGTTGACGTTAGCGAGGACAAATCGAGTTCTGGAACCATCATTTTAACGTACTCATGATTACATTTTATTTCAGAATCTAGACTCGATGAAGTGATGGTATCACATCCTGGAATATGAATGCATTGGACCTGAGACAAGTCCAGCTGTGGGATAAGTGCCTCAACGTATCTAACATCACTTTTAATTTCAGCACCGACAGTTGAAGCTAACGAAGGTTTAACTTTATCTTCTGAAGACAATGTATACGGCGAACCTGTATTTTGTGTAATTAAAGTAGATGAACTTTTCAGCAATGTAAGTACTGGGCTTTGTAAATGCTGTAGAAGGTCACTGTCATCAGTATCAGAGCTAGTGCAAGGGCACGAGTCCCGACTGAGCAACGGTCGTTCCTCACCCGTCCTAGGTCTTCTTTTTTTCTTCTTTTTTCTAACAGTTACTTTGGATCTGTCAGGTACGCCAACAAATTCAACTTTTCTATCTTTTCTGTTTTCTTCAAATGTAGTACCTGATATAACCGTTCCAGCTGATTGTTTAGAGAGGGCTGCTGTTGCCTTATCAAGCGTTGTTTTTGGTTGTTCTGTTTCGTCCGCCTCTTCCCTAAAACTGCTCATACTTGCATAGTCTGGCACTTCTTGCTTTTCGACATCTTTAAAGGGAGTTACAATTGATACAGGTCGGGAATCATTTGTTTTGTCATACTGGTAAGAATAAGAATAATCTGTCGAACTGTCACTGCTATAGTAGTCTGAATCTTTCATCTTGTTAACTTCGTCATATTTTCCATCAGTTACCGATCCATTTAGTTCTTCTTTAAGTAGTTTACCTTCTTCATCAGAGGAATCCTTGTCTTCAGCATCCTTCTTCTTTCCGAACAAGGATCTGCTCTTACTTTTACCTTCCTCTTCGTCGTCTTCAGGAAAACATTTTTGGCAGCACTTTGAACAGAAGAACAATTGTCTCCATTTACTCTTTTTTATAGGTTTTGGAATTATAGGTTTCGGTTCTTCTTCCGATGAGTCCCTGTAACAATCAAGGGGTCTGATATTTTATTATAATTAAACTCATATTTGTGAAACCTGAAATTTATTATAAATATTTTTAATATTTTGTTTTAATGTAAAAAAATTAAAAATGTGTAATACTTTTCTTCGCTAATGTCCGACAAGTCTCCATACTCTATTGGCGATAAACAAATAGTACACAAGTTCTGTAAATCAGCGAAGCACTGTTCGCAGTAGATTCCTGGACAATTTGGAGTATGACACTTAATTGGCTTTTTATTATCAGATTCTCTAAAAACTTCACCACATAGTAGACAGCACTGTTGCAAGTGTTCTCCTAAACATAATGCGCAAATCCTGAAAACAGATGTTGTAATTTTAGATCTAGAATTAAATAGGATTTAATTTAAAACGACTGTCGAATTTTGATACCTACATTATTCCTTGGCAAAATAAACTACTACTACTACTAATTACACATTTTCAAATTTTACTCGAAAACCACATCATATTGCAGAATTGAAATTTACATTTTGAAGAAAACGAGTTATATGAATCTAAAATTATAAAATATTTAAAAAAATTAATTTCGACATCTTCAAGTTACTCTATCTCCATAAGGAGAATCGACCACAAATTAATTTGACTCTTGATGTTAATTTTGGCCAAGGAACACTTGGAGTTAAATTAACAGTCACCATTTACACAGGGTGTAAGAAGTTGGACTGCCATTACTTCAGAATGAGATAGAGTAATCATAAATGAACAAAAAATTTGTATATTACAAGGGCGTAAGATTAACAGTTTTCAAAATACAGCGAGTATTAATATTGGGGAGTTTCATCACAACGTGACAACAGCGCTTAACCTGCTGATGCACACCACGTGCGCACGCGGCAGGTTGTCCTAAAAAATGTAAACAACTATTATTGTGAAACATTTAGTAAATTTCAAGACGATTGTTTTCCAGTTTTTTAATAAATAAAATAAAATGTGCCGATTTTGTGCTGTTCTTAAATTTTAGCTCGAATTTTAGTAATTATGAACCTCTTAAAACAGGAACTTAATAACTTTTAACCAAATTATTTATTTAAATTATATGTAAATAAATTACCCAAAGATTCACATCATCCAAATAATCATACGTATTAAAAATAATTTAGGTACTTACCAAAAAGCAAAATTAAGTAATTTTTAAATGCACAAGTACAAAACAAACTACAACATATGCTCATTTTCGATGCACGCATGACACCTTCGAATCCAATTTTGGCTCACTCGCTGGAAAACACCTCAAGAAAAAGAAATAGTGGTACGCAAAAATCACTCCGACACGGTCGAATCCAGATAGCAACTGAATTGCGTATTGGTGGTTGCTGGACATCTTAGTACCTTGTGTTAATAAACCGTTGCGCTGTTGTCACATTGCTCGATATGAATTTTATGGAATTTTAAATTTATTACAACGTTAATTATTTTTTAGAATTAAGCATAAAGAAGTTTAAAAAGTGATAAACATTGTATTTTACGGTATTCTATGCACGCAGTTATGTCGATATATTCCTTAATTAATCGAACTTTTGTACATCAAGTTGGAGATTTTGATCATTCTTTTCTCGGAAATGGTTGAGTTTAGGACCCATGTCGTATATGATTTTTTTGTTTATTTTAATATATTCTATCGTCTGTTAAAATTAAGGCAGTCAAACTTCTAACACTCTGTATATTATATATATTGTGGAATATTCCAAGAAATGTTATTAAAACTATTTTTCAGGTGGTCATGCGGAAATTACTCTCATACTTTCACCGCGATTTTTTTGAAATATGAAATATGATGATGAATTATAGAAAACATATAAGTATACTACTTTTTTAAAGGGAGTAGGAAATACAGAGGTTGTCAAACTGTTTTTGTGTTTAACAAATGTCCGCCATCATCTCTCATTGTTTTCCCTGCGTCTGGAAAAATAACGGAAAAATGATCCAAACGGAAGCTTGTTAAACTATTATAGTTAGTTTGAGCTACAGATATCTACATAACACATACAGGGTGGCCAAAGGAAAACGAAACAGAGCCATTTTCAGGAATTGCGTCAAAATTGTAGAAAAACGCCCGTCGATTTTAGATTAAAGGGACATTCTTTGCTGATATTTTTGACTCCGCCACTTTCACCCCCAAGCAAGGGTAAGCATCACCCCAAAATATTTAAATGGCATTGGGGGTTGAGTAATATTTCTTTTGAAAGCTCTCTTTACAACAGACTTTAAATTTTATAATTCCGCTCAATACTTTGAAAAAAAAATTACTTACATTTTAAAATTTAAATTATGTTTAGTTGCTTACTTACTACTTAGTTGATTAAATGTTCAAACTGATGATCGCCCGCTTCCATACAAGAATAAAGATTTTGTTCGAAACGTTCGCGCACATTCCGAAGCATTTCCGGAGTGATTCGACGGCATTCGTCGACGATTCTTTGACGCAAATCTTCCAGCGACGCTGGCTGTGTTTTATAGATTTTACTTTTTAGGTATCCCCACAAAAAGAAATCAAGGGGCGATAAATCCGGTGATCGTGGAGGCCACTCAATGCTGCCTCTTCTCCCAATCCAATTCCGTAGAAAACGTTGGTCCAAATACTGACGGACAATTAACGCATAATGCGGAGGAGCACCGTCCTGTTGAAAAATCAAATGATCTTCATCATACTCTGGAACATTTTCAATAATATCAGTCAAGGCAGGGTCAATAGCGTCTTCCAGTAATTGCAAATACATTTGGCCAGTCAAATTACCAGGTAGAAAAAAAGGACCCACCAGCCGGTCACCGAAAATTCCAGCCCATACATTTAATTTTTCCGGTTGCTGTGTATGCACCTCGTGAAAAACTCTTGGGTTTGAATCGGACCAATAGCGGCAATTGTGACGATTTACCGTCCCGTTCAAGAAAAAACTGCATTCATCAGAAAAACAGATGTTAAAAAGGAACTGTGGATCGTTCCCTGCTCGCTCACTCATTATTTCGCAAAATTGCAAACGGCGGTCATAATCATCCTCATGAAGTTCCTGGACTAAATGTATTTTGTATGGATGGAATTTATTCTTCTTCAAAATGGTTTGTATGCTAGTTCGATTGATCCCAGACACAGATGCCAGCTGCCTCGTACTTAATGTAGGATCAAGATGAACTTGTCCCAAAACTGCAACTTCACTAGCTTCATTAACTATAGGTTTTTCAATTTCTCGTTTTTTATTGGCTACGTTCCCTGTCTCTTGAAATTTTTTTACTAACTCTAGAACATACTTCCTCCTGACATGTCGATCTTGATGTTGTTCATTAAATAGCTGAGCTGTTCTATTCGCACATTTATTGTTCATAAAGTAAAGCGAAATGATATCTACCCTTTCCGCAATGGAATAAACCATAGTGTTTAATTTTCAAAAACACAATTAAATAAACTACCAACCAACGCTTCCAAATAATACTAGAAAATAATTTGGAATCCACTAATTTTACGTTCATTGTGTGTGTATAGCATTCATTTCTGTTTTTTACAATTGTGTTTTTTTTACGAAAGTGATAACAAATCGCCAAAAACCAATGTAACGCAAGAAATACTAAATTTATACCATTGGCGTACTTAACTCGAATGACTGACATTTTTACCGTTACTAATTGTTTGTACATAAGTTTCAACTTTAAAATCAAAATTCTTAATAAGTATTGGGCGGAATTATAAAATTTAAAGTCTGTTGTAAAGAGAATTGTAAGAGCTTTCAAAAGAAATATTACTCAACCCCCAATGCCATTTAAATATTTTGGGGCGATGCTTACCCTTGCTTGGGGGTGAAAGTGGCGGAGTCAAAAATACCAGCAAAGAATGTCCCCCTTTAATCTAAAATCGACAGGTCTGAGCGTTTTTCTACAATCTTCGTGAAAATGGCTCTGTTTCGTTTTCATTTGGCCATCCTGTATATTAAAATTTACTTAAAGTTGGCAGCTAAGTATTCTTTACAGGTGATTTTGGCGATGCTTCCATCACCTAGAATCTTCCTCCTCAACTGCCTTCTGGCCAACTTCAAGAATGAATTCCTCGCTCTCATGATGTGGTTGTAGAGCCAAATCGCTCTCTGTTTCGCTCTGACCGGATGGTAGTAACACATTACGATGTGTCTTAGCCTCAGTCCATACGGTTCAAGAAGGGCTAATACCCAACACAGAACAATTATTGTCGCTGTAAAAAGAAGTGTAATTTATTTACTTCATTTTAGATTACCAAATTTGGAGAAGCAATAGGTGAATAGTTTTGCGTAATAGTTCTTGATTAAATATTCTGAAACACGTGACATTTGGATTACAGAGTGTTTAATGAAAATTGTTTATTCACGACCTTTATTACTCTTTTGGAGGAACGCACTTATTATAGAAACATCCTGTACTGTGTCTCTATAGTAATTGTAAATTATGTGCTAATGTATTTTAAAGTATTGCTCATGGTCAACTTTTTTTCATTCCAGTAAGAATCTGAAAAAAATATGGCGGAGTCATTGGCGTCGGATCACAATTTTAGTTTGAAGTAAGTAAACTATCAAATATCGTCTAAAACATGTTCGTACTAAAACACCACTTTCACCACTTCTTTAGGGTAAACCGTAAACGATTCTTCTATTACTTATCAATTATTATTGAATTAAATTATGAATTATTCTTCCGAAACTCATATTTTACAGTAAAGAAATAAATTGTTTGTGATTAATTGAGCTAAAAGCGTTTGCTAGGGCGATAATGTTTTTTTTCTTTAAAGTACAACGTTTTAAACAAAGGTTTACGATTATACAGGGTGTCCGGGAAAGTGTGGAATATCTCTCGGGTGTAGATAAAACATGAAAAAATAAGATGAAAAAGTTCATATAAAATTTTTTCGTACATGTCCTCCCTATGGAGATATGTGTCCCTAAAGGACACCGCTGGTTTTTCTTGAATAACTTTTAAAGTACTTATATATAATTTAATAAAAATTTTATGTGATGGACACTAGTAAGGATCTCTTAAAATAGTGTCCTTGAAATATATCTTTTAGCTTAGCTTTAGCTTTTTTAGTTTACCAGGGACAGGCTAAGCTTAACGCCTAAATTTTTAACACCCTGTATGTTAAAGACTTTAAAATAATAAATCTGGGTAGCTTCAACCTTAGACTAAAAACAGATACCTACTCTTGATTATTGTCGATAAAATGAACCGTTTACGAGAAAAAGGATAATAAACGAATTCATGTTTTATTTTTATTAAAAAGGGTCATGATTTCTATTTTTTCCCTCGACAACAAAGTGCAATACGAAAGTCATTCAAACAACAGGAAATTTTCATTTTAAGATGTTTAATTCGAAAAAATACAAAATTAAAAAAACGCAGTGGTGTCCCAGGAGGCACCTTAATGAAATTATTGAAAAACTTCATAAGAGGTTTCAACATGGACTCCGTGAAGTCTGATACACTTGCGGGCACGACGAATTGAGGACTGCTGTACCCGCTACAATAGGGGACCGCCTAGCCGGGTGTCTTGGCCGGTGGATTTCGATCTGCCGAGGTAAGCATCACGGACGCAGGCTGGAATTTGAATGGGTGACCTAAGGCAGGCTCGGGGACGTAGCTGTGGCAGCCTACCAGAGACCTGGGTCGCTCAACATTTTCCGCATGCGTGTGGTCCCCGATAAATGGTAATGATAACAGAGCAAAGAAAATCTCTGTAACTGAAGACCATGCTATCATACATAAACTGTACGAGACTTTGCCACTAAGCCACCCGTGTAGTAAATATGATGGTTTGAAGAAAAGTACTCGAGTAATGAAGGAGGGTGTACAAGGGGCCTAATAAAGCCCAAGTGCCGCGGTGGAAAAACAATTCCACCACCCTCCGACATACATACATACCTACATACCCGCCACAATAACCCAGCATTGTTCCTTATCACATCACAATGAAACGTGATTCTCTGTAGAAGTTCCTCCCTAGTGTCGACTGGAGTGGAATACACCAATTGTTTGAGGTGTCCCCACAGGTAAAAATCCAGAAGCGTTAGGCTGGGAGATTTAGGAGGTCCAGCAATAGGTCCTCCTCTACCTATCCAACTATTTGGATAGACGTTATTCAGGTGCTTCCGCACACCAACGCTGAAATGAGGTGGTGCCCCATCGTGCATGAAGTATATATTTCGGTGGGTTTCAATTGGTAAGTGTTCTATTAAATCTTGAAAAGTGTTCTGAAGGAGCTCCAAATAAAGTTGTCCATTCAATTGTTCCGGCAATACAATGGTCCAATAAAAAAAATTGCCAATGATTCCTGCCCAGATGTTAATTGATTGGAACTGATGTTGATGATGCGAAACAATAGTGGCATGAGGATATTCATCAGCCCACACATGTGTGTTATGTAAATTGGTGATACCATGGTAAACCTTGCTTCATCTGTGAAAAGAATAGTGCTAATGAAGTTTACATTATTTCGTTGCTGATCCAATAGTCCGTTTGCAAATTGCATTCTACGAGGAAAATCTTCAGTTCATGTATTTTTTTCAGATGCTATGGATATAACAACTGTTTTTGAAGAACTTCATGTACTATTGTTTTCGATGTATTAAACTGTGCTGATAATTTTCGAGTCCTCGTTGATGGAGTGTCTTCTACAGCAATTAAAATATTTTCCTCTGATTGCGGCGTACGTACGGTTCTTCTCAGATCAGCATCAGTACTAATTTTTCCAAATTTTCCTACAAATATGAAGAAATGCAATAATATGTATTACCTTATTAACTGGAATCGCTCACCATTCTCCCATAGACATTGGTCAACTCGTTGAAATGTCTTCTGATTTGGCAGAATACGATTAGGAAATCTGTCGTGATATAATATTCTGGCTTGTAAAGCATTGCAAGACGCACATGAGATCATGACCATACATGAGATGCATGTCTGCATACTCAATAAACGTGCATTCCATATTTCGAATTATTTCACAATTAAATTCATCACAAAAGAAAAGTTACCCCCTTCGCCACCTAAAAGGGGTGAAGGAGAGGGACTAATTTGCACTTGATTTATAGACATTTTTTTCGTAGGGTGCTTATTTCTCGAGATTTTTTACTTTCCGGTTATTTACATCCGATATATTAAATAAAAGATTATTGATACCTAGGTACTACGTTAGCTTTGGTTTGCATTTATGATTGCAAACCCTGTAATATCGCATTTGCGGATATTTTGTTGGACCTTGGCCTGTTTGTATCTCGATAACCACGATATATGAAATAATAATTCTCGCCTTTAAAATCCTTGATCGAATTTCTCCACATATGTTTATACTAATTTTAATAATAAATAAAATGCCAATTAAAATATTGTAGGTTAATTCAGAGACGCCTTGTCTTATAAATTTGAAAGTCGTATCTGACAAATATCGTTTATAACATTTAGTTAAGATATTAGTCTACTGTATAAGTTTCTTACCTATTTGAACATAACGGTCATAGTTTGGAGGTATGGGTGTTGGTAGACACGGGACAGTATCAATTTCTAAGTTGATACCTGCTGGCTGAAAAGCTTTGACAATGCTTCGTAGAAGGTCAGCAAGGAATCCATTTCCTGCTACATGAACTGAGGGCATGTTTGGTGCTGAAAATTATCCACAAATGTGATGCAAAAGCAAATTTTCTTGTTATTTTTATTGTGGGATGCTGCAAAAGCGTCGTCTTATCAATTTAATTAAGTAAATAGGATATTGACAAGCTCCTGGTTTATTTAAAAAATTGAAGTTGGTAAAATGTTCTGTCGATAACTCACCTTGAACTTTTGATTGAAATTTTCCATAATATTTTATAAGATTCAGTATCCAAAAGAGGGAATAGTCGCCAGCCATAAAAATAGCTAGCTTAAGAGAAACTGTCGCTAGAGATGAAGCAGCTTTAGCTAACGCTTTCTTTTCTGATTTTGCCAATTTTTTGGAGCTTACCTAAACAAAGCATTACCATATAGCACGTATTTTATTTGTTCCATAAAATATCAAAGAAGTATTGAATCTGTTAATTTCGAACTCTTTACTACCTTTTTCAATATATTCATTTTATTTTCCTAATACAATTAAAATTATGTTCATACTAGTGCTGTAAAAGTTAACAGAAACTAATTACTAGGTGTATGTAGTGTACTTAAGTAAGCAAAAGTACACGTAAAAATAAACAAATATAAGCCTATTAGAGTTCGAGAGTTTACGTCGAAAGTTTTAATGCTACTCAAATCAATCTATTTGTTATTGTCTTATCTGGAAATGAAATCGCAGTTTCGGACTTATGAGAATAGTTAGTGCAACTTATTTTTCTTATTTTTATAATTTTTTTTAAATATTATTCTTCATTTTTATTTATATCTACTTACAGCTACGTACACCTGCATTTCTCTGTCATTCAGCGGCAAAACAGTTTCTTTTCCTAATTTTGCTCTTCTCATATCTATTTCGCGGAAGTCTTTATTTATGTATTTATTGTCGAACTTTTCACTCGTCAAGAATTTGAATCTGTAGTATGTAACTCTGCAAAATGAAGGTAACGTAACTATGTGATAGCTTAATTGAAGTGGTTACCAGACTTTTCAAAAAATTTTAATATGAGATTAAGACTTTTTTTAATTCATTTTTTAACGAATTCTATAATCTGTTCGGATAAGATAAATTTTACGCGTCCGTTCTTTTCAAAATCAGTTTGTAACAATTCTTGGCGCGTTCAGAGTTGTTGCATGAGAGTAGGTACCAGTTTGGCGTTCAGAATTGAATATTCGCACATGCGATTGTCATTTTAAAATTAAAATCGCGGGATGAGAATATCAAAATGTATGCAAAAAACATTGTAACGGCGACTGATTCAGAATTCAGTTCAGAATATAATTTACTGTGCTGTATAGCTTTGGACAATTTTCGAACAAAATAAAGCTATAATATTTTTCGTAAATAAATGTAAGGATAACTTAACCATCACAAATTGAAAATATTGATAATACATGGTTTTTTAATTCTTCACTAAGTATAGTATTTTTCATGAAGTGTTGAAGGTCTTTTTCTTCTTTCTGGTGCCCACTTCTTGCTAAATTGTCCAATATTAAATTAAATTAATTGTAAAAAAAACATACTTGATTATCAAGAAAAGGAAGAATACTGTCGCTGCGGACGTCATGAACTTGAATATTGTCCTCATTACTTCTGTTCTCTGTCGAACTTCTGCCGTCATTGCATGAGCTATTTCAGCCACAGTTTTTGAAGAATTCGTTTGAAATTCGAAGGAGTGGGATATCTTTATGCGAACGTAGAACATAGTTTTTACGTGTCTGATGAAAGTTTTGACTTCTAAAAAATAATATATGTTATCTAGACAAATGGTTTGAACTTCGAATTAAATAAAAAACAATAGTACCTAATTACAAAATAATAAACAGACGCAGATATAACCCTCAATAATGAGACAAATTTTCTTAAATCAAAATTATCGTGCGCTTAAAAAGAAACTAATCAACCACTCTGAAGGACAAGACGTAGAACTTTGAAATCACCTGGAAATAGTCAATGCATAAAAGCAAATATTTGATAAATTTTCAAAGAAAACTGACCACATTTATTAAAAAAAAAATGGCAATGCTTACAGTCCAGTATTATTATTCATTTAACAACTCTTTTGGGCATGCTGAAAATCACATTACAGATAATCAGTCGACTGCATCTTGAGGTATTTCATCTTAGGTTATTTGAAGCTGTTAACGGTATTTTTAGAGTGTTAGAGATGAGGTAACCGATGCAATTGCAACAAGCAAGAAAAAATTGCGAACTATTATGACAGCAAATAGATAATTGTTTCAGAAATGGTAAATTGCCAGATTTTAATCAATTTTGATTCCATTAAAATTTGTCAGTTTATTTTTTTAAATTACAATAAAACAGATAACGTGATTTGATTAAAATTGGGCGTGCAACTTCAATTTCTGATTATTCATGGACGTATGTAGAGAACATTCCTTCTCTTCCTCCTCCAACCTCCCCTTTGGTTGCTCTCGTACTGGATATTCAACAAATATACCTTTTTTACGTAAAATACCATAATTTTTATAAAATGATGGAAAATTTGGGGTATAGTGGAAAAAAAAATTTTTTTCTAGAAATTTTGGTGGGGGGTGCTTTGCCCCCGGGCCCCCATAATTATTATCGAGGATTTCATATTATCATCCAAAGCAGCTTCAAAAATTATAGATCCAGCCAAAAAATTTTCAAAATTTATTGAAAAATACAAAAGTTAGAGCAAAAAAAAAATATTTTTAATTCTCAACTTCAAGAGCTAATAACTCTACAGGGTGAGCCCGGAGGAAAAAATTTTATAGGAATTTGTGACATTATTTTCTCATTATCTATCCATATCCGAGAGATTGCCCACCATTTCCGGGACACCCTGTATATTTTTAAAGAGTTTATTCTTAACATACTTTCTGAGCCATATCTTTATTATTCTATCGAACAATATACGATTGTACTAAAGAAAAAATACTTTTTCAGAAGAGATATAAGTAGGTATGGCTTATATCTACAAAATGCAACATTGAATTGTTTTTCGGAATCTGAGTTTTGAGATAAGGAGGTAGAATGTTATGTAAATAAACCTGTACCTATATGGAAGTTGTTTTATACAAATTTCTGAGAATGAAGTAAAAGATGATTTGTTTCATAGATGTTAGTTTTTACATAATCTCCCTTCAATACACTTGCTCTACAGAGAGTTTATTCCATAAGAAAAAAAATGATCTTGTCGAATTCTAAAATAGGCATGAAATATTTTGTTGTAAAATAACGTTTTGTGAGGTGTTTCTTTTTCTTCTGAATAAAAAAGTCAAACGGAACGAAATTTGGACTGTATGGCAGACGGTCTTGCTCGGAGAAGTAATAGTCACCTAGGATCAATTGGACTTTTGCTGGCTTATGAACTCGTGCATTGTTGTAAATGTTATTTTTGTGATACAAACCAAGACGTTTTGGATCACTAACCATATGCAATTCGATATTTCTTCACCAAGAATAATTCACCCTTAGTGAGAGTATTTTTTGGAAGAAGTTTACTTTTTTGGACCCATTCCATGCATTAACTGTAGTATTGTTTTTGGATCAAAATGAAGTATTGTCTGAAGTTCCTTATTTGTAGCATAGTTTTCGTGTTTTTACTATAATGCGGATTTAAAATTATGGTAAAACTTTTTGGTTTACCAAAAATTCATAAACGTATTCCTTATGGTAAACATCCATTGGAAAACTTTCTTTAAATAATTTTAATAGTAATTATTTAATGTACCAGTAGATCAAACATTCAATATTATCAGAAATAAATTGGAAAATGATAACGATTTGTCAGATAGAACTAACTTAAGTATAAATTGTATAATGAAATTTTATCTATAAAAACTACATGTTTCCAAATAATTAATGTACTTTATCAACAAGATTTCGTAATGGCAATGGGATCCTCATTAATATTTCCATGGATTTTTTAAAGAAAACTATGTTAATCATTTAAATATAAAGCTCACCATGTGGCGCAGATATGTCAATGATATTTTCCCAATTTGGCCTTTTACTATTGAGGGATTAAAATTTTTCTATACAATACCAATAACAGACAGTCTACAATTAAATTTACTTTGGAAATAGAAAACAATAACTCATTGCCCTTTCTAGATATTTTAATCAGACAAATGGTAATGTGGTAAATGTGTTTATGGAAACTACTTCATATTAACATATTATATCTAAATTTTAATTCCATAATTAAATGTTTGTACGATAGAATCAAATTGATTTCTTGGAAAGATGAAATTTTTAATAATACAAACAGTACCCTGGGAATTTGGTTGAGAGAGTTTTTTAAAATTACGTCAGACAACAACGGGGAATTACATTCACAATAAAAATTCATACATTCCTATATTGTCGGATAGATTTAGAAGAATAGGCGGCAAATTAAACATTAAAATACTATCAAATAATGTTCAAAATTCAGAAAATTGCATTTATAACCTGCCTTGTGAATGCAATAAACATTATGTTGAGAGGACCTCTCGACATATACAGGGTGTCCCATTTTTATTGTGAAAAAATTCAGGAAAAGGTAGATCCGATAAAATTAAAGGGACTTTGTTATATAAACTTATTTCGAAATCTGAACCCTTTCCGAAATACAGGGTGTTGAAGTTGAATTTATTTTTATCTCTTGGAGTTATAAACCAATTGTTCTCAAATTTTGTGTGGTGAATGCCACAGTGTACTAATACTAATACACAAAATCTCAGCTCGACAGAAAAAGCCAGTGGCGTGCATTCCGCACTTGCCGATACCTTTTATAAAAAGTATGTGTTACGTCACTGACTGATCTTTAAAATAATAAATAATTTCAATTGTCCGTGCATTGTTCTGCCAAAAAGTATTGTTACGTTTTCTCCATAATAGGCACCGTTACGGAGTAAACCGACATTTTATACAATCATCCCTGATCTTAATTTTAGCAGAACTGTTTTAATCAACAACTGAAACGCTCAGGTTGTTTTAATTTGGCTTCAGTATTCCTTATCTAAAAAATGTTAAAGCACATTCCTGGTTAATTTAATAATATTAAATGTTCAAATTGCAAGCCACTGGCTGCAATACACTTTGTTCACTCGTAGTGACAGAAAATTAAAAATCAGAGTTGCTTTGCAAACAGTTTTGGTTGTCATAATAAACTTGACATGATCACTCTTTGTTGAGAAACGAAAACTTTTTACATTAATTACTCGGATTTAGCTTTTTATAAAATACCATTAAGTGCTTTAATAATGCCATATAAATTTTCAAATGCTGAATATGCTGATATTGTGTTCTGTTACGGATTGTGTAATGGTAACGCATTGGAGGCATCTCGAGAATACAGACGAAGGTTTCCTGATAGACGACATCCAAATTCTCAATTATTTACTGATGCATTTCAAAGACTCCATGAAATTGGTAATGTACGAACATTAGAACATTAGAGCACAGAAATCAAAGAATAGATTTGAGAATATTTGAACAATATTTAAATATTCGTTGATACATTAATGATACACTTTTTGTTTAGTTTATTAAACGTTAATGTGCATAAATTTTATAATTAATTATTGTTATTAAATCACTGAAAGAATTTTAAATGTTTTAATTTTTTCCAACTTAAAAAAAAACATCATTGTTAGTAATCACAGATAGTATTCAATTAGCCAGGAGTGCGCTTCAGCATTTCTTAGATAAGGAATAGTGATCGAGTTCTGCTAAAATTAAGATCAGGGATGATTTTATAAAATGTCGGTTTACTCTGTAACTGTGCCTATTATGTAGAAAACGTAAAAATGCTTTTTGACAGAACAATGCACGAACAATTGAAATTACTTATTATTTTGAAGATCAGTCAGTGGCGTAACACATACTTTTTATAAAAGGTATCGATAAGTGCGGAATGCACGCCACTGGCTTTTTCTGTCAAGCTGAGGTTTTGTGTATTAGTACTAGTGCACTGTGGTATTCACCACACAAAATTTGAGAACAACTAATTTATAACTCCAAGAGATATTAACAAAAAATAAAAAAATAAATTCAACTTCAACACCCTGTATTTCGGAAAGGGTTCAGATTTCGAAACAAATTTATATAGCAAAGTCCCTTTAATTTTATCGGATCTATCTTTTACTGAATTTTTTCAGAATAAAAATGGGACACCCTGTATGTAGATAATAGAATAGACGAGCACAAAGATTATATTAAAAAACAAAAATTTCAGAAATCAAAATTTTGTGATCACGCTTGGGAAAACAGTGATATAATTCAATGGCCAACATTTTCTAGAAGGAAGAAAATTAAATAGATCACTATTATTTTGTCGAATGGAACTATGGTTTAAATTACTGGTGAATAGAACCTTATTGGCTACAAATACTGAAAGTTAATAGAATAAACTTAATATGATATCTCGAACTAAGGAAATATGAAAAAACAAGCACATATAAATTAGTAAAAATTAATTAAAAATCAAAAATCATTACCATTTCAGAAGACCAAAACAGATTGATTTTAAAAACGTCAACACTTTTTTGAAGTACGCGATATATGTAGTGATGTATGTTATCGATTTTGTAACACAACTATCTTAAGAAAAATAGTCCTTGACTGTTCCTTTTGGCGGAAGGGTCTATTTCATTTTTAATTTTTTTTACAGGTGGCAAAATACCCAATAAATAAAGAAAAAACAAAATGATACACTAAATTCTCATCGCTTTAGAGAAAAGTTAGAGTCTGCATCCAAAAATTTCAAATTATTTTGAGAAATTTGTTGCCTAACCGTTTTTCTTCAGAGCCACGCCTACATTATCATACATATAGTACACTGAATGCTTTAGCAAAATAGTATAGTATTTTAAACGATGCTTTTTGAGAAACACCTTCTCTGCAGCCATAAGAATTAGTTGGAATCTGAAGGCTTGTTAGTTCTTGGGTCGCCATTCACGACCCCATCAAAACTGTCTAGATCAAAAAAAAAATATGATGCAGCTTCGTCCATATTTAATGCAACCATTCATTCATGAATAACTTTAGTACTGTTCTACTCCTTTCTTAAAAAATTTAATGATACTTCTATAAAGTAAAGAATTGAAGCAACTAAAATCAAATTTAACACACAAGTAGGAAGAGATTATCACTACTGGGTAACTTACAGTAAACTGGTTCTATCATGGTAAGATAGATATATTTTTAGTACCCCTCATACATTGTGGAAAATTTGAATGTTGAAATAAGATATTTGTATGTATAAGAATATATACGAGTACAAAAGAAAAATGATGAGAACAGCTTTATCCTAAAATATTAAAATGTACATGTTATAACTTTTACATTATTAAGGAATATTAATTTTAAATTACTTTTTTTAGGTATTAGGGTGTTAGTATTAGTGGGTAATAAGTACTCAGTATTTCTTTCTAACTCATTTACAGTAGAAAATTTAAAACCCGCAGGTTTTGTGTTGCTAAAGACGACCACCCAAAATAAACCTACCGCTATTGTTGGTTGCCTATCTATAGGGTTCATTACCATATTTTACGGAGGATCACGCGGTACTTACTTCTTATTACAACTCCAACGATCGAGTCGCTGATAAAGTCCACTATCATGCAGATAAGATCCAAAAATTTTACTAGGTAGCAAACAGACTGTACAATATAGGCAATGGAGCAAAGCCAACTGAATAAAGGACCTAGTTTGGCACTGCAATCAGCTATGGCGTTCTCGAACACTCTAGTACACCTTTCGAACGGAGTTCCCAGTTCCTTGTTGCAGATATTTATGATTTTGGCGAGGAACTGAAACGCTGCTTTGATGACTTTAACTGAAAAACAATTGACAGTCTTAAAAAGAGTTTTTTAAATCTTCCTGATATCCTGATTTTCGAACTTTTTTATTTAAATTATTTCATAATGAAATGTAAAAATATATCCACAAATATACACTTAGACATCCCTACAGCTCTACCTACCACGTCAATTGTCCTATATTTACAATAATATGTAACATTTTACAAACATTTTTTCCTGTATCTTAGCTCATCCTAAGAATTTTTTTTTAATAAAAAACTGTAATTCGTTGCACGATCTTTTTATCTATATTCATTCAGAAAATAACCGAACTTTTTTAATTACACGCTCATGGAGATATTTAGTGATATGCAGTTGGCAGCACTGCGTTGCGCATAAGCTTTTCTGTAATCGCATGTTCTTGGATTTTTGATACCTCATTTAGTTTTCGTGATGTTGTTATTTAAGTGCAACGTGTTTAAGTGTTAGTGACGATTAAAATATGCTATTTTCTGGAACGTAAAGATGCAACATAAAATTTTGCTTGACACTGGGAAAAAAATTCAAACAAATGTTTCAATTTTTGAAACAAGATTATGGAGATGATGCTTTGGGTGGTACGCAATGTTACAAATGGTTTTCAAGATTTAAAAGTTGTCGTCAGTCAGTTGAAGATGATCCTCAACCAGGAAGGCCTTCGACTTCAACTGATGACTCCCATGTTCAGAAAGTCAAAGATCTGGTGCATGCAAATCGCCGATTGATTGTCAGAGAAATTGCAGAAGATGTTAGCATCTTAATTAGGCTGTGTCATGAAATTTTAACTTTTTTTTATGACCGAACAGTTAAAGTGTGTGAATAGGTGAGGGAAAAATATTCAAGGAGATAAAAACCAATAATGTATAAAATTAATAATAAAGTTTAAAAAATAAGGTCCGGTTATTTTCTGAACAGACCTCTTATCTCATTTGGTTGTATTTCCTTTTGTGTATCATATTTAATACATTTTCCTGTTTTGTGTGTATTTTTTTTCATTGTATAATTTTTGTTTGTATTAATTTTACGTTATCTTTTCTGTTTTTGGGTTATAGCCTGCTGAATAGTGCAACAGAAATAAATAATATAATACTAAATCGCAACTATATAGTGACATCGTAAATATCAAATTACAAAAAAACTGCAGTATATTTTGCTGAAACTTTTACTAAAATCATATCGGAGAAATTTCAGTCAGCTCTTGAAATAAACATTGCAAATATATTATTTAATTTATGTTGTAACTCGTTTGTTTAAGTAAAGGTAATTTAATGAAATACTGTTTTCAGATACAATCAATAGCGACTATATTTCACTGTTTTTGTTAAATGAAGCAAAAATGCAATATAATACGTCGTTTTAATAATATAGGAATACTTATTGTGATCTTTCAACATGAACTTTCATGAAAGTTTTACATACTGAATTCACATCACATTTTTTTTATTTAACTATAATAACTAGATACAAGACCAACATGGATGGTGTCCATAAGAAAAAAGTTATCCATCGCATCTCAAAACAGTGAAAGATAGAAAATCTAGCTTCACCATTGCATTCAGCTGGGTGTTCAAAATTTCATTAATTGTAAGTTATGTTTATAAACATAGTATATGAATAAGCTTTCTCTATTTTATATTATTTATTTCGAGGACTAGTTTGAATACTTCATTTCACGAAACATTTTAGTAAAATATTATGCAACTTTACTATAATTTTAGAAATCCTGTCTGACCTCTGCCTTTAATCCCTCCACTTTACGCCCCCGACCTGTCTCTTTTTTAACTTTTATGGCAGTAAAACTTCTACTGGTATACATTTTAGACAGTAACATAATGTTTTATGTTGCATTAAATACCCAAGACAAGGCTAATAGGAGTAACTTATAAATTCATAACTAACTTACTGATTGCCATTATTACTCGTTTTATCTTTAACAGAATTTCCTTTATTGTTATCATTATCTCTTTGACAGTTTTTATAACCTTCTTGATGGCTTCTTTGAAGGCTATGAAAGGTTTCTTAATCACATCTATTATTTGTCTCACAGCTTGTTTAAGTTGTTCCTAAAAAAGGTTAATAAAAAATATGTTTCCTTATACATAGGACGTGTTAAATTTAACCCGAAAGTATGTGGCACATGATAGTAGATAGTATAACCTATAACGCTTCATTTTCCAGATACAGGTGACAAAATTGAAAAAATCTTCAATTTAGAATAATTTTTCTAAGGTTAATAGGATTTTCAAATTAAGACCTGTTATATGGAGCTTACTTTTACCGTGAAACAATTAGCAACCGATTATTGAAAATGTCGGTTTACAGGACATATGCACAAGATTTAAGTTGAATATAACCGTTAATTTGGAAAGTTGAAATAAAGAGGGAGTATTTCTGGAAAAAAATTCACATAAAAATTTACATTTATTTACCACACTTTATACAGACTGTCTCACGATGACGGCACATTAGAATATTTTAGAGACTATTTCGATTTCAATTTTAAAAATTTAGGCTTTGGGGTTTTCGGGAGTGCTCTCTTTAAATAAAATAATGCCATTGTTGTAGCACTGTTGCTTTCGATAACCTTATTCAAAATAGCTTATTTTTTACATCATGCAAGCAAGCTAAAGTATTAATATTTGGGAGGGAGATAGGGGGATGTCAATCATTTATTACAGTTACTTTAAGAACTGTTTAACTTTACACACGGTGGTTTAAATTTATTGCCGAATTTGCTTAACTTCGAACCAAAACTTGTTTTTTCTAAATGGAATACCCTTTATATTTAATCAAAATCTGTTGTAGAATGTTACTCTATCTATCCATATTACACTTCCCTATACCTATCTCTTTTAATTTTTCTGTTATTGACGGTTTTTGTGATAAGTAATTAAAATGATTCAAGTTCTTGCAAGGATGGCTAGCAAACTTAAAAACAAAACAACCAGTATATTATAACTCATCATTGCTGTTATTCTGACAGTGGTCATATATAATATTATGTTTTTTAAATAATGGAAAAACTGTATTCAAATGCTGATTTAAAATTTATTTATTTATTCATGGGTGGTGCAATGGGATTATAAATAAATGATGTATAATTTTTAATGAGAGATGTCCCAGTTTACTACTAATGAGCAGAAAGACATTCATGTTCTTCATCTTCATCTAGTGGTTGGTCCTAATAAGTCCCATAGTACTGCGGCCTAATTAGGCCTATTGTGCGTCCCACTACTAATCCTATTCAGCAAGTAGATTTGTCCTTTTTACAAAGTCCAAAATCTTCCTTGCTGACACTTCTCTCAGTTCCTTGGGTTCCAAATAGGGTCTCCCAAGGAGCGTCATTCTGCTACGTGCAAATCCCGGGCACTCGCCCAGGATATGCAGAAAAGTTTCATCCGCCGATTCACATCCTCGGCAGACCGGACTGTCTACAAGCTTTAGCTTGTAGATGTTTCCTAAAGTGACAGTGTCCCGTTATGAGTCCTGTCACTTTCCTGAGCCAGATTCTGTTCAAGCTCAGTAGATCATTCGCTCTTTCCTTCGAAGGATACTTACTAGAAGCTCCTTAGAATGGCTATGTCCTGGCCTTGAAGTCCAGTATTTTCTGTGTTCTGTCTCAGTCCATTTACCCAGAGCCCGCCTGGCCACACTGAGAGATATGCCACAGAAGGGCTCCGGGTCAATGAACTCTGTCTCGGATCCCTTCCTAGCAAGTTCATCCGCTTTCTCATTTCCACAAATGCCTTTGTGCCCTGACACCCAACACAGTCTGACTGTATTGTTGGTGGCCAGTTCAGTCAGCATTTGTAAACAATCCCACACCAGTTTTGAACTTACCTTGTGTGTGGCTAAAGCTTTAATTGCAACTTGACTATCAGAGACTATACTATCAGACTATACATACATATATATATATGAGTTTACGTCTATAACCTCTACGTACATTCTCTGCCAGACACGCCATTATCGCGAAGATTTCTGCTTGGAATACGGTAGGGAACTCCCCCAGACTGTAGCTTGCACTCCATCTGGGTCTGAGTCCATATATTTCTGCCCCTGTCCCTCTGGTCATTTTGGAGCCATCTGTAAACCATACTAGGCTCCACCTTTCCAGGGTATTAAACTTTTCCTCCCACTTGCATTGATCCTCTATTCGAGTCTCAAATGGCTTGTGGAAGTGTTGCCCTATTTCTGTTGCAGGCCATTCATGAAACGTTCTTCGAAAACGAGCAACTAAATCCTCTTTTGAAGTAACGTGTGCAGAATAAATTTCTTGTTTAACTGTTTTCCAAACATAAAAGTCCAACGGTGTGAGATCTGGGGACCTCGGTGGCCAGTTCCAGGGTCCTAGACGCCAAATTCACCTTTCTTCAAACATTAATTTGATTTAATTGCTGATCGACTAGAATTCCACAAACAGGTGGAACCCTATCTAATTGATACCAACAAAATCTGAGGTAAAACATTCATAAAATCTGCCACAATTGTTTAATTACTTATCACAAAAACCAACAATAACAGAAAAATTAAGAGAGATAGGTAAAGGGAATGTAATATGAATAGATAGAGGGTAAAATTCTACAACAGTTTCTGATTAAATATATGGTGGTTCCATTTAGAAAAAACAAGTTTTGGTGGTTCGAAGTTAAAAAATTCGTCAATAAATTTTCACCATTTTGTGTAAAATTAAACCGTTTTTAAAATAACTGTAGTAAAGGATAGGCATCCCCCTATTAGTCTTTCAAATATCAATACTTCAGCTTGCACGATGTAAAAATTAGGCATTTTTGAATTAGGCTATCAAAAAGCAACTTTTTTTGAAATAACTGAAATAACTCGAAGACCATTAGAGGTAGATATAGGGAAGCTTGATAAAAGTCCCCTTAAAATTAGTCATAGAATTTAAATATGCAAAGACATACAGAAGAGAGCACCCCCGAAAACCCTAGGGACGAAATTTTCTAAATTCAAATTGAAGTAGTCTCTGAAATATTCTAATAGACCGTCACTGTAAGACAGTCTGTATACAGAGCTTTCATAAATGATTACAAGTGATGTGACTGTCGAACTTAGACAACCAACATTTCACTGCTGGTATTGTCAAACTAAAAATCTCTAAATCTTAGCGTTACCAATATTAATTAATGTGTAATTTGAATGTGACATTCAAAATGATTTTTCATATAACATTATTACCTATAAAAATAATGATGTTTAAGAAAAACTAATGTAAAGTACAAAATAAACAGCAAATACAAGAGGAAAAACCAACACAGGAGTGGTGCAAGAATGGGAAAAGTGACATGTAACTTATCTAGTTCTTGTACCAGTCCATCTATCTAGGCCAGGAAATATAGAGTTGGACGCGACTTTTTGTTTGGACAAACTGAATTTATCATGTACAATAACATATTAGTTTCCATAATCATAAAAATGGGTGGAAGATTGTTTACAGGGTGGTTAATTGCATAATTTTTACGTAAATTCACGTTTTTCGCTTATAACTTTTTTCCGTTCATTTCCACGAGAAAACAGTAAAGTACTTTTTTTTGTCTTCAAAAGACCTACAAAACTAGCCCTCTAGCGTCAAAAAATATTGATTAGATCAAAAGTTATAAACAGAAGAAGTTAATTTATGACTATTGAACATTTATAAACTGCGTTATTATTACCAGAACGTTTTGACATCGCATCCTCTCATTTCTTATCACTGTCTAATCACTCACACGAAATCTGGAATTGGTAAGTTGAATAGTTTACAAGTTATGGCCTTATAAACAAATTAACTAATTTAGTCTGGACGATCCCGAGGATCTTCCACAATCGCGCTGATTTTTTTCATGGTAGATTTCATAATAATACATTGAAATCTATCATTTTTTTCTTAATTTCAAATTTGAAACCTAGATTTTTTTTATTTTTTAGCCTTAGTTGCAAAATGAAATATACGACGCACGAGCGTGATATAGTTATATATTGTTACATATTCGGAAAGCTTCTGAAAAGAGCTTTAAGTTAAATAAAATTCGTCAAGACTTGTTGAAGAACAACGGAGTTACAGTCTGTCAAATATATTATTTTCAAGCGAATTTCGCTTTTTTAACGGCAGGACTATGAATATTATCGTCATTTTCTTCGGACTCGCTGTCGTTCGCTTCCCCTGATAAGGAGTAATCTATGTA